GTAAAATTATTCTTGCTTTATTTGATGACAATATTTTATGAATTTTTTGTGATTGCTGGAACAAGAAGAGAGAGTAGTAGTTATGTTTCTAACTGCAGTAAGGAAAGAGTTAACCATAAACAAGTCATGCTTATTATGATAAAATATCTAACAGTTTTAGTAAAAAAATAATGAAGTTTTGTTATTCATTTTATGCATAAAGTCTGAAAAAACTTACAAAAACATGAAATGAGAAATTCATCAGGAAAAGTGTTAAAGTATTTAAATAATGTTACTTTCTGGGAATTATTTATTTCTCTGAGATGATATGAAGTACACATTTCTTAAAAGTGTCATTTACTGTTGTTGCTATTACTGTTTAATAATTTATTTCTCAGAGTGGTGATTTGATATGTAAATTTCTAAAAAGTGAGTAATGCAGAACTAGTTTTTGTTTCAAGTAGATTATTCTTTCTGCTATTCAGTGGGTTATACTTGTTTCCCACAAGTCATTGCCCAAGAGGCATTCAATATTGTTTAATCATACTATAAATACATTTTAATTAATTTAAAAATGATAGATTTTTGTAAAATCAAGCTGTTCATCTGACTGAGTAATGATCTGTGTGTGTGGGTGGGGGGGGGGGAGATAGATATGAAATGATATTTTTACACTACACTGATTTGGTATCCATAATTGAAAAAATTAAGATGAATATTGAAAAACAAACTTTTGCAGTTCGCATGATTTCTAAGCCTATTTGCCAGCTTTTGGTGTTCAAACCATAAATTTTACATGTGGTTTTGGTTAGTGTTATGAACAATGGTGTCAATATTGTATTTAGTCAGTAAAATTTTAATGAATTTTGTTATCATAACATTGAATCTTGTATTCTAAAAAGAATTTGGCTATTTGTTTTTGAAATTATTTTTACAAATAAGTTCTGTTTTGCTGTGCAAGCATGCTTATGAAAATGCCTTTCTTGTTAATGGTAGTAACTGCAAAGTACAGTATGTTCCCAGAAAATGATGCTTATTGTAATAAAAGTTTATAATGAAAGTGTTTGGAGCTTGTATGTATTTGTAATTTGCTTTTTTTTTATCCAAATGTATCTAGACATAGAGAATATTCTATAGATATTTTCACAAGCACCAGTGATAAAAAACAAACATAGCATATTTATGTGTTTGTTGTTGCACAGGTTTACGTGCCTTAGATGGAACCATGACTGACAGTCTAGAAGCAACTGCTTTCAATTTGAACATGAACATCAATGATATTTATTCATGCAGGTAGGAAAAATCACATGCCTTATTTTTTTTTATAAGTAAATAAGAATTTGAATAAGTTTCATGTGATGTTCCTAAAGATCTGTTTCTGATATCAGACTGAATAAAATGTCTTCAGTGAACAGCAGCTTCAGTTGAACACATATATGGAAATTAATCTACTAATACCAAAAAGAATGTATACCAACAAAATATAGTTACCTCCAACATGAATGAATCTGAAACATCTATGTTATGTGCTAGTATGAGCCTAGGTGTAGGCTACATTCGTTGCGAGTATGAAACACAGTGTGAGAACAAAAATTCTCTCTCGTGTGTGAAAATGCATTTTTAATAGTTTGCATGTGTATCACAGGATAACCATTCAGAAAGGGTATAAAATGTGTTGGTGCATCTCTACAACAATTAGTTTTGTGAAAAATCACCAAGAACATGCCATGACTTATGGCACAACAGCAAGGCAAGACAGGCATTTGAAATGCTGCAGATGGAGACCTCATACATTCTTATTGCAAGAAACCTGGGTTTCTCAAAGGTGACCATTACAAGGTTGTTGAGGTGACTCAGGCACTCTGGTTAGACATCAGCCAGCCTAGGACAGGCAGATCTCATGTGACTATGCCTCAAGAAGGAAGCATCATAGTGTTGGGAGGATTGTGTAGTTACTAGAGAATCCCACTTATTTAGATAATCGTAACCTCACTAGTCAGCATTACAGAGATGAAATATTTTGATCTATTGTTCTGCACTTCATCTGCCAACAGTACCAGGGTAGTGTGTTACAGGATGACAACTCCAGACCACATATACCAAGGGTGGTGTAACAGTTTATCATAGCGAACAACATCGATGGTCTGCTTTGTTCTCCTGACTTTTCTCCAATAGAACATTTCTGAAATCAAATGGACAGAAGAATAAGAAGGTGAGAAAAGCCACTGACCAAAAAAAAGAACAGAGGTAAGCCATCTTGGAGAAGTGGAGTTGACTTTCTGATGATGTCATCCATTAACTAACTGTTTCCATGTACTAGCATGCATTAATGAATGAGGTTGTCCCATACAATATTAGCTCAGATAAGGTGGTAAACATGCGTGTGAGACTGTGAGTGCAAATCTGTGTTAACTGTGAATCTGACCTAGTGCTTGAAGTGTGTCAGGATGCCATCCCACTTCCTTACAGGAGGGTCTGAAGCCATCCTGCTATCTTTTAGTAAATGTAAGCTTCTTGGGAGGGAAGGTTTGATAAATGATGCAATAAATATTTATGGCAGCAAGGGACTGGGGAAAGAAACTATTTTTATTTTCTTTAAATGTCATGTAAAAATGAGGCAGGAGTGAGATAAAGTAGCACACACAGATGGAGAGAAAGTATCCTCTAACTACGGGCTTGGTCAGTATGACTGAGTTCGTAACCACAAAGTAATTATCAGAATTTCTATATTATAACTTGTAATAGTATGCATCTGTTTATACATAACATTGTTTTATTGCCCTTTGACCCATGTCTAACTAATAATTCTGTCACACAAGTTTTAAATCACTTGGTAAATGTGCAGCTCATGTTACCTTATTGAATTATATAACATCTGAGCTGGTCAAGATTATACCTTGTGAAGATTTTTTTATTATTATTATTTATTTTTTCAATATTTTACTAATATAATGTAATAAGTTTCTGATTTTTACATTTTAGTTACTTTTATAATAATAAGTAAAGAATACATATGAAAACAAGAAATATATTATTTAGCTTCCAAAATTTCACAAACCATCCTGCTTCATCTTTTCCCTTCTATTCAAGCACTGATCTGACCATATATGGGAAAGACAGTAATGTTTTCAGTGTGTAAGCCATCCATGTATGTAATTTCTTAATAATGCATTGACCTTGGATTTTTCTATCAGGTACACTTTGATTGAAAGTGCCTTCATGTTTTGTTGTCCAAGTATGATAATTTTATCTTTGGTATACTTTCTTTTGCACGTCAGTATATTATTGATTTTACAAAAAGCTATTGTTTTTTGATTAATTACTATGCTTAAAAGTATGATTAAGGCTTCTCATCATACTTCATATGTTGAAGGTTAATTTTGTTTTTTTTATCTTTAGTACAGAACAAATGTTAATACATGACTATGGCATTATGAACCATCAAGTGAATTAAATCTTAACAATGAGTATTTATCATGTTGTTTTATTATTGCTTTTGCTTAAAGTTGGACTTTATTGTCTGAAACGTCAATATTTAAGTCACAGAAGATGTACGTGGGATTATTTTTTACACTTATAGTTAATATGAATCACATATTAAGCATAAAATGTATTTTTACTTATAGAATTTGATAATTTTTGGTTGATAGTTGGGGACCTGAAGATGATGGGAAAACTGTTGAAGGACCACATTATTTAGCTCTGGTATGCTTAGATTTAAATATGTAAATCTGAGAAGTTCATGTTTAAGATTGTTTTCATACATTCACAGTTGTAGTCATTTCTTGTTTCATTATATATTTGAAACAACAGATCCTAAGTGATAGCCATAGGTAATTAGGCAAGTGTAGTTTAAAAAAATTGTCTTATTGAACAACGTTCAGCTTCTTTATGAACTGTACAAATAATACAAAATTTCGAAGCTTTTTTGAGATTATTTTTAGTTAAGTCTGACACAGTTGTTGTTTCATTTCTGTATGTATAACATGAAGTGCCTTATATTATTCTGACGTTTATTATGTTGGGCTGTTAGTAAATTTGCTAGTTAATTATGCAACTGTTTGACAGATAACAGATTCTTAAGGAATGTTCAACTCAAGTCAACTAGAAATAAAAACAAAATCAGCTGATTTCATAATATTCATTTATTTAGTTGCACGGCTTTGTGTTAGAGCAAAGCCACACCAGGCTATCTACTGTGTCCACTGCAAGGATCCAAATCCTGGATTTCAGTGTTTTAGGTCTTAAGACTTACTACTTTCCTACTGGGGGACGTTAGATGCAACGTTCCTTTTTATTCTACAGTATTATTGCAAAAAAGTGCAATATTTTTGTAAAGTGTTTTTTGTAATAACTCTTTGTTTTGCAGAGATGTGATTATCTATCTGAAATACATTTTCAGGTTATGAAAATTTTAACTTTGGAAAATAGACCTCCATGTTTTTAGTAGTGAAGTTTAAAAAAGACCATCTAACTTATTTTCAGGGTGAATTATTTATTTTGTATAAACTCCAGAAAACATGTTTCATGCAAGTGCAGTGATTTTGGAACCATCTCTTCATTCATTGTTTCTTAAGTGAAGAACTTTCTTCGTGTGCCCTACTTTTGTCATGTAATTAGCCTAACAATAGGAAATTTACTTTTCCATTTAGTTCCTTAAAGTTGTGGAATAATAGCCTCTTATTCAAGGTAACATATTTTGACAAGTTACTTAAATAATGCACTTAAAATAAAGGAGTTTAAATTTAGTCTGGCTTAACTTTCTACTGTATTTTATTTAATGAAACAACAGTGTCTCTTGTCTGAACTTCACTCATCCTTATTTCTCCATGTGGTCAAGAAACAGTAATATGTTGTCACATGATTGCTACACTGTCTCATCACATGTTCATGTAAACTTAAGGGTAATAATATTCACTGACAATCATACAAATCCAGATGAAACATACGACTAAAATCCATCAATTGTACTTATGTGCAACTTAGCATGGATATATTTTGCTCTGTTAAAATATCTGCAGAGTTAATATTTTGCACACCCATGTATTTGCTTGTTTTATTCATTACTGTTGTTTGTTTAGATATTTTCATAAAGTATCTGTAAAATGTAAGTAGGAGGGATATAATTCAATATTTTAAGCTTATTTACTAATGATCTTTTAATTTGCTGGTTCCATTCTATGTCAGAACTTGATGAAGACATGCTAGAAAATTAACATATCTTTAAACAGGTGGATAATGTTAACTGAACATTCCAAAATATTAAACTCGTGAAACTTAACATATATTATTATGTTAAGAAAATAACATGGTGATAACAACTATTTTGTTTGTTTTTTGGTATTACAATTGATGAGTTTGTCATATTAGTGTCAAGTAAGTTCAAGTCATGAGTAGCATTTGACCATTTAATTGTGCTACTTACTTAAAACATAAATGTTTCTAACTATATTTGCACTTATGACCTATTCGTAGCTATTGCTTCAGGTGTTCACAGATGTGTTTTACAATATATAAAATTTAAGGACTTTGATACTGATATTTTAATCCTTTTTTCTGATAATGTTAAGCTTTAATTCAGTTAATCCTACAGTGTGTATAAGGGATTGTACTTTAGTATATGTATGTGCCTTAGAAAAATAATGTATATGTATAAAGAAAACTTTCTTTATTGAATACTAATCTTTGTGTGTAAAAATGTAGGGAATCCTTCAATATTTTGCAATTTGGAATCTGCTTTAACTTAGACTGAATATTAAGTATAATATTTTTTTTTTTCAGAAAGCAATTAAACATGGTATTGACATGGGTCGAGGAGGGTATGGTTCGATCTTTGTGGTTGCAAGTGGTAATGGAGGATCTAATGATGACAACTGTAACTTTGATGGTTATGCAAGTTCCATTTACACAATTACAATAGGTTTGGCTTTCTTTTAGAAAATATCTATGAAAATTATGATGTAGTTAACATCATTAATTGATATTAATGGCTTAAATTGCAACATTCAGGAGATTCTAGTAGTTTAATCATTTCTTACTGTGGTTTGTAAGGTGTTTTGATATTGTAAAGAACAAGTGAATTGAAAAAATTAGTGTAACATTGAAATACGTAATGCAGTTTTGAATAAAAAGATTGTTTGAAATAAACAATGAGCGATAAATATGCTTTGGTACTACCAAATGAGCAAAATGTGGTTAGTGAATCAGTTATCCAAATTTGTGACTGATTTTAATAATCTACTCTTGAATGTCTATGTTTATCCAAACAAACTGTGTTACAGTGTGTATTGTACATATAATAGTGCATTATTCTTAGATTTAATAACAAGAATTAAATATCAAACATCTTATTAACCCTTTCGGGATGGGTCACAGGTGAAAGCCATGTCATCTCATTTGTTGACTTACATTCAAAATTTTATTCAATTACTATTTCATGAATATATGTCAATAAGTTTGGTATCAAACTGTAGATTATAATTCAAATTTTAGAACTATACATTACTCAGTATGTTAATTTAAAAGTAAATATTAAAAAAATATGTTAATTTAAAAGTAAATATTAAAAAAATGCAGATAAACATCGATTTTTGTGTGTCACATGGTATGTTGAATGCAGCACTGGTTTAAATTAGGTGTTTGTGAAGTCAAAATACTAAGTCTATAGTTTCATATGAATTAGAAACTCAAATTACAGATATTGACAAGGTAGAATATAAAATAAGAAGGGCTTATGTTTTCTATTTGCTAAGATATTGCTCATGTAATAAGTCAAACAGAGTGGCACCCTGACCACCTTTTTCCATTTTTGGAAACGCTCCCTTATATACACTTACTTTTATATATGACATGAATAACCAATCGGAATAACCAGAATGTCCCCTAGTGGGTTTCTCAGTCTTTCTAACATTCCTTCCACCACAACTTTCTTTTGA